AGGAATGCCAGCAGAACTGTCCCAGGTGACTTCTAAAGATCTTACATCAAAATCTATAAAAAGCAATCTATAAAAGCAGAAACAATGTAAAACAAATTGACGTGCTGATTACCTGCTTGTTATCACACGAATATCCATCCATTTTATGAATATTGGGAGAACACTATAGAAAGAGAAAATAACTAATAGATCATAGATCAGACAAGCATGGAAGCAAAGCATACAACAGATGTCATATGGAAAATTATTTCAGTATCATGCTGTTTTTTTCAGTATCAGCAGGTTTGATACAATTTTTATACACCTTACTATACAAAATGGTAACATTCATAGTGATTGAGAGACTACAGGTGGTTTTTTTCATCTCTTGGACAGAAGATATAAAAATCACCTGACTGGAATTTCCTGTGCAGTTCTCTGCAATATCACAATCATTCACTGCTTCTCGGCACAAAACTCCTTTAGGTTCAAACTGAAAAGAAGGACAGAAAATTAGTGTCTTGATTCCTCCATATCTTGCCTTAAATGCAATGCTTTCTTAGAGTTTTAACCAAAATAAAAAAATGAAAATTTTCACATGCTGACTGAAGTGGGAAGACTTTCCTTTCCCTGGTGCAGACATTGCACCTGTCAAGCCACCGGCCATTTGCTGGTGCAAGGGGTACCACTCTCTGAGGCACCCCCTCCTGAGTGCACTGAGCGTGGGGACGTGCAGGGTAAGTGCTCTCACAGGACACAGGACCCTGGCGTTTATCAAATCAACACTGCAGTGGCTTGCAGCATTATCTTGACCAGGTCATTGCACCTTTTTGTGACTATTTTACTCTTCTTTATAAAACAAGAGAGTGATCCTGACCTTCTTTCTAGGGATGAAGAACACTGCAAAGCTCTAGGTATAAACACCATGGTTATTAAAATGCTCCATTGTAGAACAGAAACTATTAATAAATGTATTGAATTCTGTATAGTTTGACACCATTTTCTACATGACCAGATACTTAACAACGAAAAATGTATCAGTGACCTAACGTGCGCTTTTTGGTTAAGGACTTCTGTGCTAACTCTCAAGACCTGTAAAAGCAGAAAGACATCTCATTAGTGGCAATTGTTAGTGCAGACCCCTTATTTTCCCTGAAAGGCTTCTTAAGTCTGTGATATCCAGTTCATTTCACAGCTCTGTGACTTTTTTTCTGGATCTGCATGCACATACATTTTTTCAGGGACAACTGCTAACTCCACAGCTGGTGTGAAGGGGCACACATCAGTGGAAGAGCTAGACACTGGTACTTTCTCAGCCTTCAGTTTATCTTTCCCCTACCAGTCTCTGGAAAAATGCAGACAGACAGGAATGTTGTCAGAGATGCTACAGATGCTGGGATGTACACCCACCACGTTTTGCTTGCAATCACTCCTGCTTTCAGGCTGGGTATTACAGGGGAAGGTACCCAAGTTTGGGAACTGTTATATATGGTCTTTTGAGTTGTCTTGATTAACACCTCCTAGGGACATGCGTTTTGCAAAATTCTGCCCTTCCCTTCACTGGCTCACCCTCACCACTCTGTATGTAGATAAACCCTTGTCTCATTTGCAAAAATAATGTAGGTACACAGAAGCTTAATTTTTTTCTGAGAGTCTTTAGTATGGTGCCTATGTGACTTGGATACTTGAACAAAATTCACCCACGCTGGCAATCTGCTAATCTTTATATTATATTAAAAAAAAAGGAACGTGCTTAGGGAAATGTGATCTCTTTCAGCATAACCTGTGCTTTTTCTTTTTTTAACACTAGGATGAGCACAAAGTCAAGAACATGGTCCACAGTTATTACTAATGTTCCTCCTAAGGAAATTAAATGCTCAAATGCCCACAGAGGAAGATAAAAATATCACACATAGTACACCACAGTTTTAATAACATTAATAATTATCATTATTACTAAATGAATATAAACAACTATTTGAAGTCATATTTAGCTGGGGTCCCTTACAGCCAAGATCTAGATAAACCTCCTTTTACTATTTACTGGTGTATCAGGAAGAGCACCTTATAGTTTACACAGGGCTTGATTCCCTTTACGCAATGGGATTTCAGTCAGTCCAAACATAAGGACACATAGGCAGACCTACCTAAAACTGAAGTCAAGTGTCTTTTAGATGAACCTTCTGAACAATTCTGCTAGCTGAGGGTTGGTTTGTTTTGGTTTTTTTTTTTTTACTATATCCTTCTCTCGGGCCTCTGTGGTATGATTTTCCCATTCAGTCTCATGGGTCAAATCCAGAACATGTAAGGCAGTGGGAGCAGCACATGGGTAAGGATGTGCATGTTTCAACAAGCACATCTAATAAAACATCATGGAACTTCAACATGATTCAAACTTGTCTGAAACTGGAAGGCTTTAATTCACCTCTGCATTTGATCCCGATCCCTGCCCCAAGAAGCCCAGACTAAAAGACAGAGAATAGCCCCAGACAAACCAGTTTTCAGCCAATTTTAAAAGGCAAGCTTTCAGAAAAGGAAATGCAAGGTCTGCAAGGAAAAAGACATGCTGTGGTGCCTGTAGCCACCTGGATGCATTACTGTCCGGACGCTGCAGTGAAGGTCACTGCCCTTACCCGGCACTTCCGACAGCAAAGCCCGTTGCTGCACTGGGAACCTGCCGTCAGGGTGCAAGTATTGCAGCACTCTCCTCCTTCGCTGGCACACTCCTGAGGAACACACACACTTATAACAGAATACATGGGAAAAGCAGATGAGCCCCAAGCTCTCTTACTACTTCTCGTCTTAGTGTGCTACCTGAACAGATTTTTAACCAGGCTTTTAGGCACCTGGAGGCAGAAAAAAAAGCATGCCCTGTTGGATATGAAGCTCCTGCACAGTTGTTTGCTATGCAATATAGGACTAGTTTTCCTAACTTCACAGTGTCAAATCATTAAATACTGACATTTTAGCACTGACATTTTAGCACTGACCAGAGTCATGTTCCCATCTATGAAAATACTTTCTTTAACATCTTTTAAGGCCTGATTCTGCACAGGCTATTGCTATTACTCTTCAGAATTTATGCAGTGATACAATAAAAAAGCTGGGCCACATGGTGTTAAACATGATGAAAAAAGGTAAGAAATGATGAATCCCTTGCCACAGGACCTTAACATTGCCTGTCTTCCTCCACTTAAAGTCAATGGCAGTGACAGCCAGCACCGTGTCCTGGAGAATCTAGTTGCTAATTTAAAGTGTGTTGCACTTACCGCTATCGTCCCACAGTCACATTCTTCTCCATCTTCCACAAAGCCATTGCCACATTCTGGAGGATCCAGAAGCTGCAGGGCAAAATCAGAAATCAAAGAGCATGTCTCTCCTAAGTGAATCATTGTCATATTTATTCTCTACAACATGTTTTTTTAGCTAGCACTCCAAATGCATTAACCAAAACACAGTACCCAAAACTCAGGAAGAAGCAGACTAGAAACAACACAAATGAAATGTGAGAGAATGAACAATGCTGTGAATTAATTCAGCAATACTGCAGAGTCACATGGTGTCTTCTGTGCGAGACTGCCATTTTTACAGCAGATTCAGTTTGAGCAGAAGCCACAATCAAAACCAAAAGGTCTGACAATAAAAGAAAAAATTTAAAACAATATGACATTTTCATAATCAATCATCACAGGGGTTGCAACTGCTGTTGTTCTGGAATTCAAGTGATGAGAGCTGTGTCCTCGTTTGACACCTGCATAATACCTTCAGAAGGAATAGCCATAAAAAATTGTCCTTTGGGGGCACATGGCTCAGAAATGCAGGGAGAAAGGTTGGGTTTCTTTGTCAGTTTTTGTTGCAGTCAGATGCTTTTTTCTTCCCTTTTTCTCTACCACAGTTGGGAACCTTCAGCAGTTTTCCATAAGCACATGTCACAGGCAGATGAGAAAGCATAGCTGGTGAGGCTTCCTCCCCTTCCCTTCAGCCTCCCCACTAAACTGTAACTTAAAATGTCTAAATCTGTATATTTGTACTAGTACTTTCCTTTCCCAGAGACAAGATTTGTTCAGCATCTTTCACATAGGACCCATGCTATGTTATCTTTCAATGGACACCTATAGTCTGCTCTTTCCAGTTTCATTGTTTCTGTTTTCCTAAAATTTGTAGAGGTAATTCTTCAAAAAGAAAATATTTTTTTCTTTGGGCATAACAAAACATAAGATACTTTTATTACATAAATAAGAATGCATATAAGTGTGTCACCAAGACTAAAATTTTGCAGATTGTCCTCCGAGTTCTCCAATTAAACTAGGATCGTTCCAGAAACCACTCTGCTTACGAGCCATCTGCACAAGTACCACACTCATGCTGTACAGTGCATTTTTCTATGGCTGCTGCCTTTCTGCCGGTAGCCCACAGGATGGAGCATCATCCCACGTACTTCACTGTGCCACAGACAAGCCTGAGGCTTGTGGTACAGGCTGAGGTGCTATTATTAGATCCCCCTATTGAAATGGAAATTTGACTGCAGCATGAAATGCATATGTAGAATGTTACATTAAATGTAAGCAAGCAATTATCTTTTAGAATTATTACAGAGTTGTTAAAACTGCTTGTTTCCTACATATTTTTCCAGACATAACTTCTTCAGTATCTCTAGGTGTGCTGCACAATACAGGTAAGTAGATGGTAGTAAAAGAGGGTTCTGCCTTAAAACATTGGGCCAATTTGCTGCAGTACATAGGGACAGTTAAATATGAAATAGAAGAGAAAAAACATGAAAAGCAAATTGGGTAACTTTTCCCAAAAAGTCATATAATTCATCCAGTCATTTGAAAAGAGCATATGCTCAATCTGCTCCAGCAGTCATTGATGTAATTTTTGGGATCACAGTTGATCTTACAGTGGAGCACTGTTGAACACTGCACCTTGTCACATCAGTTTTCCTTTATCTAATATTTCTTGAAAAGCAAAAGTACGTCTGTGTTTCACCACCTTTGCTAGGAAACACATGTCTTTGACAGCCTTGTGAATTTGACAGACATCCATTGACAATAACTTTAAACCAACCCTAACAACAATACATACAAGAGTCTAAATCACCCTGGCTTCCACATCTAACTTTCATATTTCCACGTGCCATTAGAAAAAATTGTAAATGCTGCCAATCTAAATTGAGATGAGAGTAACTGTTTTTTTTCCAAGTGACAGATGTGTAAATTAACATAATCGCTAAAGCAAGCCCAAATAAGACACATTACGCTATGGAAGCAATTCACTTAGCAAAGAAATAAAACCACAAATATTTCTCTCGACCTTTAATGAGATGGGAAAAGTCAAACTTCTAAAATGCAGGTGCATTTTAAAGAATGAGAAATCTTACATCTTATTAACGAATTACAGTGCTTTCTCTCCACTTTTAATAATACATTCTTCCATGAAAAGGAGACCTTTGAGAGATAAGCAGACTCAGCTTATCCAGATTTGATGCCTTCTCTTATGCTCACTAAGATTTATTGAAATTCTGTAGTTGTCGGAACACGCACTTTTTCTCAGCCGCTCCAGGAGGAAGGTGCATCACTCCAGAACTGACGTTCTTTTTTACATGTGTGACTACCTCAGCTACCAAGTCTTTTTCCACATTAGACTGTCTTTCTGTCTTAGCCTCTTTGGTTGTTGAAAGATAGACATTAAACAGAGGATAACATTAATTATATATAGAAAAGAGTCAAGATTGTTATCCTTACTACTTTACATTTTAACACATGCTTCAGTAAATGGAGCAGGAATATACTGAAGCCCTGCTGCAAATCCTCCATTGTAGAAGTGCTTGCATCTTGGCTGGAGTTTCTTTAGCCTTGTTTTGTATTTGTCTCCCTTAAATGTCTCAGTTAATCATTTCATACTCTTTCCATCCTTCACGTGAATATACCTGTTTAGCAGGCCAAAACTGAGACAAGAGAAGCAAAGAAAAGGCAAATACTATCTCAAGAGATATTCTTCACTTCTCCTGATTTCCAAGACTCATGCAGCAAGACCTCTGATTTCATTCTTTAGAGGCAAATTTGGAGGGGATGGGTCAGTCATTTAAGTGGGTCCCAATGCTTTTGTAGCTCTCCCACCCCCAAGCCTTTAGGGAGGTAAGCCACCATGCTAAATGAGTACAGTGGCACTGAGGACCAGGGTCCAGCAGGGATTCACCAGCCTTCCCCGTCTGTGGGACTACCCAGCACAAGGCAGGGTTGTGCAGAACCAGATGTGATGGCCTGGAAGGAGCTAACACAGGGCTAAGATGATCCAAGCACTTCTCACCAGACGTTTCTCCTGCAGCACACATGGTTCAGGGGATGACAGACCGTGTGAGCAGTGCCTGGGGAATGAGGAGTGTGACGGGCGCCCAGCAGCCATGGGCTCTCCTAGTGTCTGTCCTGTACTCCTCAGGGCTTTCTCTCCTGCTCTGCCTCTTCCAGTTTTAGAAAAACTAGTCCCAGTTTCCAAACTCTGTCCTGAGAGCCACTGTAAAAACTTTGCGTTTTCCAAACAGGGAGAATATCACAACCACTTGTAACCGCTGGTGCCTGCAAAGCCGCTGGGCTGCACAGCAGTGCACCCCCTGCAGAAGCTCTAGGAGCTGTGTCTTCAACTTGGCACAGATGTGAAATAAAACCAATCTTAATTCAGCTTCCAGAGATTTGTACCAAAAGACATCAGTTCAACGCAAATCAGAATTCAACCTGTGCAAAAGTTTACCAAGACGCTTGAAACCTCAGCAAATAAGTTCAGCAACATATTGTATTTACAATATTCAGAAAAAATTGTGTGAGGGATGGTTCTAGATCAAAGCCTGTGGCAACTCCGTTGGACATGAAACCACTTACTAAAAAATTATTTAAATATAATTTCCAAGCTACTATGAACTAAAATCAGCTACTTTCACTCATGTCACCAGAAAATTTAGAACTTGGAGAGAATCAGAAATATCAAAATTACAGGTGATTTTTTTTTCCAGTATTATGATTTTCATTCTTCTTGGTTTCATCTAAATTAGAAATAGAATAGAAATAATATTCAAGAATAAGATAATGCTTACTTTGGTTGGTTTATTGAAAAGGCAGGCTCCACCTCCATTGTTTAAAAATTCATGATACTCTTCAATATCACATTTGGAGAACTTGCTTGGAAGATAATATCTGCACAGAAAAAAGGTAGCAGGATTACTTTCTATAGTGCTTTTTATGCTATATTTTCTTTTTTCAAAATAGGAGGAGAAATACAATGTTATACTTTAGAAAAAGTACAAAAACACACTGTTCAGAATCAGAGTGACTATCTGCTTGTCACTCTAATTTGTAAATCATTTTAGTAAATGACAAAGAACTTTCAACAATGGCACAGAGCTCATGGAAAGTGAGAGGTCTAAAACATTTCACTAAGTTATTTCATGCCAAATACCACAAATCTTATTACACAGTGTGTAGTTCTCACAAACATGACCTGTTCCACTAACGGGCCTGATCTCAGAAATACATTTATTTCTTCCCGTACATACCACAGGAGACAAAAATTGCTCATAGTTCATTTCTCTCTTAGATGAAATTGCTCTCCTGGCCCACAAAATTTTTATATGAGAGAGTTAAGCCATTTTAAAACATGCTTCTAACAAACATCAGCTAACATTTCAGTCTCCCTCTCTCATGTGCCCCACTGAATAAATTTCATTCGAGTACAGAGTGCCAACCTAAGGCACAGTGCACCACCTAAAAACAATATGATGCAGAGAATCTTTGCATGGATCTTTTCCACAGGGAAAGAATTTTTCCCAAAGTAACTTAAGCGATCTTTATATTTAGGTCTTTAGTCATGAAAGTACTTATGCTTCAAGCAGATCTTGGAATCTCAAGGGCTTTCCTGTATCAGCTCATCACTGGATAAAAAAATATTAGCAGAAGTGCTACACAAAATAATCCTACATTGCTGGGAGTGATGGCTTGCAAACCATAATTGGTCTTTTCCATCTCTAGTGTTTATGATTTAGGTCTAAAGACTACAGAGAATATTCACCATCCTTCATCAATAAGCTATGTAAATACAAGCTTTTTTTGTGTACCTAATTATTTGAAAGGTTTGGATTTCAGATAAAGAATTTAAAGACCATTAGATAAGGAATCACTTTTACAAGAATCAAGAATGCTTCTCAGATTGGCTTTTTAAAATACAAAAAATCAAAAAAATCCTACCTAGTATGTCTTTAGGTAGACAAGGTGAAAAAAGCACACCTTCACACTTCCAAAGAGCTTTCAATGAAATACGCTTCTTTGTTCAAAATTGTTCTAACAACAAAGCTATTGTGAAAATTTGCAGGTCAGTTTGAAATTAATTTAAAAAGGACTGTCTAGATCTAAAACTAGACTATTGTTTAATTCATACACATGATAAAAGACAGGACTGTAATATGAAGAATGAAGGTCTGAATACACACACTAGAAAGCACCAAATTTCATCTAGCAGCAAAAATTTGCTGATTAACAAGTCTTTAGATAAAATCTCTCCAGTGACATTGTATGTGGGTATAAGCATACTCAAAGTCCAATGGGAGCAGTTTTTCTAACATTATCACACAAACTGGAGGATAAAAAATTATAGATATAGATGAAAGATTCCAACAGAAACACTGAAAATGAGACATACTTAAGCAATTTGATAATAGTATTTCAAGAATTACGATGTGCCATTGTTTGTTCCCACAACTCAACAGCAAACTTGCAGGAGAAAAGAAACTAAGTATGTTTCTGCTTCTCTGCAATGACCTGGCTTGGCTGTTGAGCCCTGTGCTTTGTGAGTTAAACCAGCGGTCACTAAAAATCCTCACATTAACTCACTTATTCACACATTTCTTTGAAAATGTCTTTTCTACGTATGCTGTACAGATAATACCCTACTTTCTGAAAAATGATTCATGGAAAATATTC